CCCGGCCCCTTCCACAGCCGCCGAGCTGCGAGGGGACGGCGCTGGCTCCTGGGAGCCGCTCCACAGCGGCGTCGTGGCCGGGCCGCCGCCCCCAGGGCGCTCTCTCCGGGTCAGCAGTGTCCACGGCTCCGGGTCCACGCAGCTCCGCGGGCTTTTCTGTAATCGCGGTTGAGTGCCGCGGCCCCGGGTCCCTTCGCCTCTGCCGAGGGAGGCGTGGCCCCCGGGGGAAGGCGGTGCCCAGGGCTGGGCCGCGCCTCCCCGCTCCGCTCTCTGCTTCCTCTCCGGTCTCCGCCTCTGCTCCTCTCTGCTCCGCCCTCGGCCTCCGCCCTCGGCCTCCGCAGGCCTGAGGTTCTGGGCAGGTTCTGCAGCACTCCTCACTACTGAGCTATCCCTGCTTCCAGTTAGGGGTCTTTGGAGTTTCTGCCTTCAGGGTTCGGTTTTTGCAGGTTACGGATGTCCGGAAGCTTAGCCCCCTCTCCTAGGCCCTCTGATGTGTTGACACACACTTGCTCATAGTAGTCCCTAAGATCCTTTATCACTGGTGCCCCTTGAAAAATCTCTTTTCCTGTAAGATTTTGCCTGTTCAGGCCGGTTTTCTTCCTGTTATCCTGCCGAAGGATTCATCAACTTTGTTTTCTAAAACCAACTCTTGGTTTCACTTAGGTTTTGTGCTACCTTTTCTTTCCTTTTTTCCTTCAGTCTCTTTCACTTATTTGTGTTCTGATCATTATTCTTTCTTTCCTTCGACTCTTTTTGAGTTCGGTTTGTTACTGCTTTTGTAGTTCCGTAAATTATGTTGTTGTTTATTTGTAATCTTTCTTTCTTTGCTCTAGTTGCTAATAGCGATGAACCTCCATCTTAATATGGCTTTTGGTGAATCTGATAGGTTTGGGTATTTGATTTTTCCATTTTCATTAGTTTCAAGAAATTTTTGCATTTATATTTTGATTTCTTTATTGACTCATTGGTAAGTCAGGAGCTTGTTTATTTCACACACACACACACTATTTAAATTTTACTATTGATTTCTAGTTTTATTTCATTGTGGCCATAGAACACATGCAATGTTTTGATTTGTTGTGAACTTGTTGAGACCATTTTTTTTTTTTTTTTGGTCTATCCTGGAGCATGTTCCTTGTGCTCATTAGAAGAATATGAATTCTGGAGCTGCTGGATGCAGTGTTCTGTTAGGCCCATTTGGTGAATAGTGTCAGTTAACTCTGATTTTTGTTAATTTTTTTTAACTTAACCCTCTTATTTTTTTTGTCTAGGTGTGTCTGTTGATGTGGGAGGGGTATTAAAATCCCCAAATATTATTATATTTGAGTCTACCTTTCCCTTTAGGTATAATTGCATTTGCTTTATTTAATTCTGTTATTGGGTACACATATGTTTCTAATTATGATTTCCTCTTATTGAATTGATCCCGTTGTCATCATTATGTAGTGCTCCTGTTTTCTTTTGCAGTTTTTGACTTTAAAGTCTATTTTATCTGCTGTAAATACAGCTACTATTCCTTGCTTGCGATTTGCCTTTGTATGGAGACTCTTTTCCCAACCTTTTACTTTTAGTCCATGAGTGGCTCTTCTGGTAGAGTTTCTTCTGGGAATGTATACTTCATTCTTTTTAAAATCCATTTGGCTGATCTATACCTTTCGACTTAGGAATTTATTTCATTTACATTTGAGGTAACTAAGCATATGTTTACCACTTTCTAACCATTTTAATTGTTTTGTATTATTTTGTATATTATCTTTCCTTTCCATCTTATTCTTTATTTTTGCAGCTTCTTAGTTTTCTTCAGTGATAAGTTTGGATTCTTCTCCTTCTTTTGTATCCACTTTGCCAATGAGTATTTTTTAGTATGATTTTATGATGGTAGTTATCATCCTTTCATTTCCAGATGTTGAACTTTAAGCATTTCTTATAGGGCCTGCCTAGTGGTGATGAATTCCATCATTGGGAATGGGAATTTCGGGCAAAAAGTCAACCGTTTTTGTTTTTCCCTTCATACGTTTAATAGACAAATAAGGTCCAAAGTTAGTAACAGGAGACAAGATGATAGGAATGTTTACATAGGGCCTTAGTCGAGGACTTTTGTATTTTTCTCAAGTTTTCAAACAAGTAGAATTTTCTTTTTAAAGTTCCTTAAATGGACATGTCCTGAACATTGTGTGTGTGTGTGTGTGTGTGTGTGTGTGTGATGGACATTGCTGTCCATCATATGCAGCTTCTTTGTGCTCTGTCTTTTGACAGTTACATGTGTCACATGCTGCTTCTTTGTGTTCTCTGTGTTTAGCTAGAGAGAATACAGGCTGAAAATACATTGGAATGGGACAAGAGAGAGTTACTGGAAACTGAGAAACAAGGCCTGGAGAGAGAAAATAGAAGGCTAAAGGTCCAGGTGAAAGAAATGGAAGAGCTCCTGGACAGGAAAAGCAGCTTAAGTGAAAGCTTTCAGGGTCCTGATTTCAAGACGTCCTACAGTGAACTACAGGAAAAGAACAAGGTAGGGAGCTCCGGGAAGCACCTATTCCCTCACCCTGTGCGCCCCTCTGACACCTGGGCCCCTGCTGCCTTCACCAGTCCACGCTACGTGTTAACTTCCCATTTGCCCTCTGATAAATGATAGCGTGGACTTTTCCTCATTTTGATAGATAGCAGTAATATTCAGATGAAACAGTGTGACGAATTTTGGATGAAGATGTTAAGAAGTAACAAGTCTCTGAACAATTCCAAGAGTTTCCAAACAAAAGAAAAAAAATGAATTTTTTGTTTTACTTTTTCTAGTTATAGCTATGTAATTGGATTTCCTAAGCTATTGATCTTATTATCAATAATATGCTTCTCCTTTAATTTGGAGCAACTATATAATAAGCATTTGTTGGTAGTTATTGAAAGTGCTTACATAAAGTTTTAAATTTATCTAAGGCTAACTCTTCTCTCTTTTTTCTTATAATTCTCAAAACCATGATTTTCAAATCAATTAAATGCACCATTTTGCCAATAATTTTTACAGGCAGTAACATAAATGTGAAAATAAAGATTAAATTCAAAATTTGACTTAGAAAAACTTGGAAGGTTTTGAATGTGTTTTTAATCTTCAAAGTGATAGACATATTTAGTGCTGCAGATGGCAATTTCCTTCTTTTTGATAAATAATTTACAGATGTTTAAATGTACTTTCAGTGACAGAACTATAGTTAAAAATCTGTGTCATTTACTATCAATTTGCTACCAAATACATACTACTTCTATTTTTTCCTATTAAAACATCTATAGAATGTTAATGTTCAAATCTATTTTTCACTCAATTTTTTTAACAGTTTGAAAAGCGAATGTATAAGTTCATGTTTTTGATTTATATAACTAATTCATACTCTTACAAACTCTAAGAGCAAAGTGGCCAGAAAAATTTAATTTGATGTAACTGTTCAGTTCTTTTATGATTTTAGGGATATATTGCAAATATAGTATTAAATTGCATTAGTATTTCATGACTTGACAATACAAATTTTTAAAGCCAAATGTCATAGTCAGTGATCATTAGTTTGTATGGTACAGACTCATGAACCATCTTAATGGCATGTGACATTCTGAAATTCATATAACTAATAAATCTATAGAGAATGATTTTGCCGATTTCTATTTCTAAAATCACACAATATTTTATCATTTATAGAATGTGGTTTTGTTATCCAAATTTGTCTTCCTATTTGATTCATTGAAAGAGGACAAGCATTTGTTCATGTTATTTTCTGTGTCAGCAACTGCTCTAGAGGGCTAATGGTAAGATGAATGGATCACTGTCCCTCTGCAGCATGAGCTTGGAGTTTACATAGGGACACACATACATAATTGATAATCAATGACTCATTGTGTTTACTGCTAAGAATGAAGTCTAACTGAAACATAGATGAAGAAAAAATTCATTGTATTTAATTGTGTTTAATTGTGACATCTTTCTAGTTATGCAGAAATGTCACAACATGAAGCGTGCCAGTTAAGAAATATGAGGGCTAACAGGGACTCTTAGGAGCTGTCATAGGTGACGTGTTCTTTCATAAAGACCCACTGTAGCCATATCTGCACTCTTTGGAACCAATATAGTTCTTTCAAACCAGGCGGAAGTTGGTGACTGTATTTTAGAAGACTCAGACCTTCCAAATCAGTGGGTGTGCTCATCATTTAAAAGACTGTACAATTGCTTAAGTTTATATTATGGTGATGGTAACAGAGAGTTTTGGTGAATTTTACTCTCTTCATTAAGAATTCAGACTTACTGCAAAAGAACCAAAAGAGGAACCAAAAGAATTACTTTTCATGTAGCAGTCGCTGGTCAAAAGCCTTGGTGCCTCATGGAAGTCCAAAATATCAATATTTATATGTCCTGAAATGTTAAATAAATCAGAATTCTCCAAAACCATACCAAAGTCCAGGGAATAATGTAGATTTGGTTGTAAAACAAAGCCAGACTGTAGTTTTAACATCAGCACAATAGGGTGGCTCAATCTATCTATCTATCCATCTATCTATCCATCCATCTATCTATCTATCTATCTATCTATCTATCTATCTATCTATCTATCTATCTATCTATCATGAGTAGGAGCATCATATCTGTTTCTTCTCCATACATCCCTGTATGTGAGTGTGGACCACATGAGGCTCCTGTGTAGTACCTTATCTCTATGTGTGTATGAGTGTTCTACACAAGTGAGTGCTGGCAGGGGAGGAACACTATAGTAAACATCACACAATTATTGCTCTCTCAAAAATATATGAGGTTTCTTACCACATGACATTTACATCTACTCACACTTGCTGAATGTCTGTGGCTGACTGAAACTGAAACTACTTGCTTCTTATAGAAATCTCCATATCGGGGATGGTGATAGAGTTGGTAGAGTGCTTGCCTCACACGCACAAGGCCCTGGGTTCAATCCCCAGCACCAAAAAAAAACAAAAAACCAAAAAAAAAATACAACCCCCCAAAACCCGAAATCTTCATATCAATGAATTTTTAAAAATCTTTGAGTTTTATTAATCTTAATGTTCAATAAAATTTTTATATATCCCTAGTAATTAAAAAAGCATATTTCACCCTGTTTTTTTTTTACTTTTTAAATTTAGTTTAGTGTTACAGGAAATGTTTTTAAAATGTCAATGTTTTAGAAAACATACTATTGTTTTAAAAATGCCTCTCAATTTTAAATTGAACTACTATTTAAAAACAAATGTTATTCTTCATGTGATATTATCTCTTTAATGTCCATTTGGTAATTGCTTTTATAGACTATATTTGAGTAATTTTCTATTTTTTCAATATTCTACAATTTACAAAAAACATAGTGGCACAAAGAACTTTTCATATTGGAAAATCATCATTCTAGCAGTAATTAATTTTAAAGCATAAACCACCACTATATTTTTTTGTAGAAAAATCTCTGCATCTTTTGATGCCTTGTGGGTTTCGGAAATAGTAATACTATTCTGTTGTCAGTGAAAGTAGTAGTAGTGAGGCATCAGAGAACAATGACTCAGACAAGAGAACTTTGGAGGCAGTATTGAATACTCTTCTCAGAATTCAGCCCTCATTTTATTTATTTATTTTTTAAAATTTATTTATTTATTCTAATTTTTTATATATGACAGAAGAACACATTTCAATTTATAGTACCCATATAGAGGACAGATTTTCATGTCTCGGGTTGTATACAAAGTAGAGTCACACCATTCGTATCTTTATAAATGTACTTGGGGTAAAGATGTCCACCTCATTCCACCAGGTTTTCTATCCCCCTTCCCCATTTCTTCCCCTTCCTCCCCTTTGCCCTATCTAAAGTTCCTCAGTTCCTCCCATGCTCTCCTCCCCATCCCCATTATGGATTAGCTTCCTCATATCAGAGAAAACATTTGGCATTTGTTTTTTTGGGATTGGCTTACTTTACTTAGTATAATGTTCTCCAGCTCCTTCTATTTACATGCAAATGCCATGATTTTATTCTCCTTTATACCACATTTCTTTATCTATTCATCTACTGAAGGACATCTAGGTTGGTTCCACAATCTGGCTACTGTGAGTTGTGTTGCTATAAACATTGATGTGGCTATATTACTATAGTATACTGTTTTTAAGTCCTTTGGGTATAAACTGAGGAATGGGATAGCTGGGTCAAATGGTGGGTCCAGTTCCAGTTTTCCAAGGAATCTCCATGCTGCTTTCCATATTGATTGCACCAATTTGCAATCCCACCAGCAATGTGTGAGTCTGCGTTTCTCTCCACATCCATGCCAACGCTTATTGTTGTTTGTATTCTTAATAGCTGCCTTTCTGACTGGAGTCAGATGAAAAAGTAGTTTGGGTTTGCATTTCTCTAATTGCTAGAGATGTTGAACATTTTTTCATATATTTGTTGACTGATTGTATTTGTTGATTGATTATATATCATCTTCTGAGAAGTATTTGTTCAGTTCCATGGCCCATTTATAGATTGGGTTATTTGTATTTTTGGTGTTAAGATTTTTGAGTTCTTTATGTAGCCTAGGGATTAGTGCTCTGTCTCGTGTGTGTGTGGTAAAGATTTGCTCCCATTCTGTAGGCTCTCTGTTCACCTCACCGATGGTTTATTTTGCTGAGAAGAAGCTTTTTATTTTGAATTCATCCCATTTGTTGATTCTTGATTTTATTTCTTGTGCTATAGAATTCTTATTAAGTTTAAGGTCTGGTATAGTGATGCTACCTGCTTCACTCTTCTTGCTAAGGATAACTAGCTATTCTGGGTCTCTTGGTTTTCCAGATGAATTTCATGACTGCTTTTTCTATTTCTATGAGCAATGTTATTGGGATTTTGATTGGAGTTGCATTAAATCTGTATAGTGCTTTTGGTAGTATGGTCATTTTGACAATATTAGACATTTAGGATTTTGTCACAATATACAGAAATGGTAAGTTTAATTATTATCTATAATATAAATATGTTTGCAAAAAGTTCTACAGTTTTTGATGGTGGACAGAGAACTGGGGGTGAAGTGTAGGATGAGATGGTGAGGGGGTAGAAGGTGAGGATATAGAGTTATTAGATCTTAGAAAGCATGAAAGAAGAATCTAAAAAAGTTGGTGAGTAACAAAAGAAGAGACAGAAAGTGATTTGGGAAGACAAGTGGGAAGACAGTAGAGTACAAAAAACAAAGAAACATAAATATTAAGAAAAGTAAATAATGTAAAAATAGGAGATAAAAGAATATACAACACCACTGTAATATACTATTCAGACTTGCCAGTAGTAGGCTATTCATGAAAAGTACTTGGTTTCACAAATGTTGGGGATATGCCGGTGGGAGGAGAGGGAGGGAGAGAGGGATGGGCGGGGGGAGAGAGAGAGAGAGAGAGAGAGAGAGAGAGAGAGAGAGAGAGAGATCTCGAAGGAAGATACAATGATTGTTTTGGTTGGATATAAGTATCTTTCCAGCTTCCCTTCATATCCAATAGGTGGGGTTGTCTGTTCT